ATCTTAAATAAATCAACAATGATTTGCACAATTATTAACATCAACTTGAAATTTTTCTTGTTAAAAAGTTGAATAATTTAAGACATTCAACATTATGAATGAAAAATAATGAATAATGTTTTTTTGAGACTTATTCATGTAACTGGACAAAAAAAGCCTGTGAACATTTTTCAACCTTTAATAGTCAGTTGTACTTAGTTTAATTTGTAATGTATCATGGCATACTAATATAGAGTCCCATGTAATGTATATAAATGTCAGTATGTGTAAAAAATAATGTTTTGTAGCTGAAACTTGATCGCTTCAATAGTATAATTGTGATCTCTGTATCTTTTGTAGTTTTCCCGTAAAATAAACAAGAGGTATTATTTTCAAAGAATCTCTTGTGTAACAGGAGAAAGCTATAAAAGAAAGTTTTCTTCTCCCTTTTGTATTTTCCCATGTTATGAGCATTATTATATCCATGATATAATAATACTGTACTTTACAGATGGAATAAAATTGTTGAATAGAAAAAGAATGACAAACATGTTTTGTTCTCAGAGAGACTTTTATCTTACTAAGGCATATATAAAACTATATATACACATGTCCCATGCATAGAATAATATATCAGAAATCACAGCAAAGTAGAATATAAAGAGAAGCAAAAAGCAAGGGTTCTACATATAATATGGATATACACCTGTGTATGGGCACATGGCTGAATGGTTAGAACGTCTGCATTCTGACCATGAGACCCATGTTCGAATCTCACCATGGTTGATTTGTCAGAAAGGAAACCTCCTGATGTTATTGAACTGGAGGGATTGATCCCAGCATATTTCAGGCACTTTCCAAAGTGCCTGAAAACCATACTATGGGTTGACCCAAGTCTTGTGAGTGAAATTGGGTAGACAGAACCTTTGGGAGCTGTTGATAGCTGTGCTAGCATGAAGTCACAAGTCATTGTGGCTGATTGGCTTGAGCTTGCTGGCCTTATTCAAATTGTTGATTATGCTAGATAGTTGCAGTATAAACCACAGGTGGGCTCTGTCAGTGTTGAACAAACACAAATATGCCTGAGCAAGCGTCTGCAATAGGGATTGACTAGCTGCCCCAATAGACAGGTATCCTTGAATATGATTGGCCAGCTATACTATACACCTGTCTGGAGAAACCATTTTTAGGACTCTAGATTGAAACAGGCCAGATTCCTCTGTGTCCCTGGAGAGGCCATATACTACAAACAGGAAACAGTAAGTGTTAGGTTTTCCCAAAATGAGGACTATGAGCTGGGGTTTCTTTATCTAGGAAAAATATATTCCTTAACGGAAATGGCACCATGGACTTGCAAGTGGCTGGAGAAACAGATTTAGCCTTGGCCTGGGCCATAGAGGGCCTTGGGCTAAAGAAAGCAACCTTATGGTTTCACTGCAGTAAAAACAAATTGAATATATACACAAAACTTGGACACAAAAACTTTGGCAAACATGGACTTTTGTGTCTGAAAAAAATGGAGTATGAAAAAAGATTTTTTCCCCATGACACCACTTTTATTTGAACACTCCTCAGCAATGTTTATTGTTTTAAAAAGTGGTGATTAGAAATGTGATAAAACCTAAACATGTTGTTGAGACTTTTGTGTCATTTGATTTATCAGAAGGATTTTTTGTTATTATCTTTGATGTGTCTAACCGTGTCCCAAAACAAATATACAAACAAAGAATATTTTAGATTTCAAACAAGGAAAAAACGACATATATAGATCAAAGCAATAAAGCATTTATATACATTTAAACATTTACAAACTGAAAATATAATATTAATGTTCCTAAATTGTAAACATTTGCTGGAATGTTTGATGTCTCTGTGTCGTTATGTTTGCTATTTGGTAATTTTCTTTATCGTTTGGTCAGCATGACTAAAAGTTTGAGTCGGTGAAATGTTACATCTTGAAGGTTGGTAATTTTGTCAGCTACTCTGTTGCTCCGCTTCCACTGAAAGGGGCTGTCTGCCTTTCTTTATATAACACTTGGGTTTTCAAAAGTGGCTCAAGTCGTTTTGGCGCAATTCTTGTTTCAGAAGACGATTGACCAATGGAATTGCTTGGTTCGATTCTTGCCATTTCTATTGGTTGAGGTTTTTCTGTACGTAGGCGTACGATGTGGACTTGCCTTTTTAAGGTTAGAGAAGGTTAGAATACTAGAAGAGTCCACAATGTGATGATAGTGAATTTATACATTTTTTTTTGTTCTTGAGAATTTATAACAAAAATATTAAATATTATTTATTTACAAGAATATTTTATATTTACAACATTCTAAAAACTAATAGAATTTAAACTAATACAATGCAATATTTGTCAATTTATAAAGAAATGAATATGAAAACAAAATTTTGTTCCTAAATTTATAAACATTTACTAAGTTATTAAAATATGTGAACCAACTATAAGGAAATCCTTATGATTTACCATTTTATAAAGTTTGAATCAATTGGCAATTAGTCAAAGTTTTGTCAACCACTCCAACAAGCAATAAATAAATAGGGTAAACAAACATTCTAATAAATAAATAGTGTCTATTGTTTTGTTGGCAATTCACAGGAAGAAATAAAATGTATAAATTCACTTTCATATGTTTAGGTTTTATTCCAATTCTAATCATTGCTTTTGTGGGAAATTTAGCAACTACCCAAATTGAGTCGTGGCAAATGAACAAAGATGAGACAATTGAACATTTTATAAAAAATACTTTATATAAGAAATACATTATACAACAAGAATGAGAATATAGAATTGTTAAAAATACATTCTTTTAGTGGTTAAAATTTGGGTATGAAATCCAAATCCATATATCTGTATAAAATTGATTGAAAACTTATCTGATGCTGTTCATTTTTCTTTCAATAGCTGCTTGTCCTTGCATTATTCAGGTTTGCTCATGGCCAGCATCCCCTATTCTTGGAGTAGGCTAAAACACATCTGTTCCATTTGTGGTTGTCAGGGCCTCTTTACTTTGGCACCTCAATTCTATTTGACACCTAATTTTAGGTCTTATCCATTATTATTAAATAAATAGACACTATTTACATTATTCGGACTATTGTTCTCATCTTTGTCGCCATATTTATTACAATGTTTCAGCCGTTGTACACTCTGGTGTTCTTCAGGTGGTTGGAATATTGAACTGAACTCTTTATTTCACTCACTGTGGTAAACTGTTCTAGTTCCATGTGCCATGTCTAATGGATGCCAGTTATCAGTTATCGTCTGTTAATTCCCCTCTCCAAGTTCTCCACCAACTTAACCAGGTATTGAACTCACACTCTTTGGGTCCTGTCACTGGATCTAAGTGGTTTGACATTCCAACCACCTGAAGAAGGCTGGAGCATACAACGGCCGAAATGTTGTAATAAATATAGATGAGGACAATAGTCTGAATAATGTAAATAGGGTACATAATACCTCATCTCAGAAATATAGACAGATCCTAAATAAATGGACTCAGTTTTCTATCAGCAGGCGTTATCAACCACGGGGAGATAACCTATATTTTTTTATACTTTTTAAAACAATAAACATTGCCGAAGAGTAGCTAAAAATAAATGCGGTTTCATAGGAAAAACTGTCTTTTCGACACTCTGGTTTTTTGTGGGCACGAAGGTCCATGTTTGCCATAACTTTAAACAAATGTAAATTGTAGTTTTAAAAATTTTACCACATTATTGTAAGTTAATTTACTATAACTGTGACTGAGAAATTACTAATCTCGTTGTGCTCAGCTACTGGTGAGGGGAAAAAATGTATTATTTTTATTTTTTATTATCAATATAAATTTTATCCCTGTTATTATACGGTAAACACTGTTTTATTAACCTCAGCACTCAATGTGTGATCAGTTTTACAAAGCAATAACATAACAATAACTCCTATTTCAAGACCAGCAGAATTTTTGCCAAGAAGAAACTGAAAGTGATCAACAGAGAACTATAGTGACAATATCACAATATAGTCAATAATTTAATTATCCGACTTATGATTTCTCGACTGACTTCAACAAAAAATGTTTGCAAACACCGCTCATGATAGTCATCGGGTGAGATAAAAATCGAAAATAAGTCGATTGAACTCTTTAATTTGTTGACGACATATGTATTTGAAATTACAGGCAGAGTGCACACGGTGTGAAAATGGAAATGAGTACGAACGTGTGTGTGTGAAGAAATTGACCTCACGACATAGAAAAATAAATTTAAAATAGAATTGTTGATCTGAGTTCAAATCACAGTTAAGGAAAATACTTCTTAACTTATTTGAACTAATTTAGCTAAAATTAATTATCGCATGAAAAAAGAAGTTCATTACAAATGCAGTATTGTTTTTATTTTTTTAATTAAACAAAAATTACATTCATTCAACTCAAATCAAAACTTCTCCACACTCCTTTGAATTCGAACCAGTTTATGTTATTGTTAAAAGCAAGAATGTTTAATGCAATTTTATTCTGCTAAAAGAAAGACAAAAGCTAAACATATTTCGAATAGCATCAATTTCAACTTTTTTTAGTTTTATTTTTAATAAATATATTTATTAAAAAAAATATTCCGGACTGGAACAAAATTAACTGGTGGTCGTTTTAAGAACCATCACCGGCTTGATCTGTGTGCGTGTATGTTTGCTGTTGTGTGGCAGTTCCGGCCTTGCGCAGCGCAGAGTCAAGCCACGTCATAGAAGTGGGAGGAGTAGTGACAGTAAGAAAAACAAGAGAAGTGGGAGGAATGTTTCTATCAGCAGTGAGAGTCGGCTTTGGCTGTCTGCAGTAAAGCCTAACAACTGGCTTACCCTGAGATTTGCTACTCCTGAAAACCGGTTTACGTTGTGGTATGGTCTCTTCCTGAAAGAAGCAAAATAAAAATACGCTACTCTATCTGTTTTACCTGCGGAATTTTACAATAGACATCGGATTTTCGTTCAGACTGCGAAAAAAGGCAATTTAAAACCTTTAAAAATGGTGCTTATGACGATGATAGCACGGGTAGCTGATGGGTTACCATTAGCTGCATCAGTTCAAGAAGATGAACAGGTTGGTTTCAATTACTTTTTCTTTTCTCTTTTTGGTGCTTTTCATGTATTTCGTAGATCTGCTTTTTTATTCTAAAGGACTTTGCATTAAAAGAAATTCACACATTTTCGGAAATAACTGGCGATATGAAGTCAAACATTATCTGTCTTGCATTTTTTTAAAAGAACATTTAACAATCAGTAACTGAGTAACACTAAAAACATCATATGTTTTTCATAAATAAACTTAGATTTCTGTTTGTTTTTATTCATTTCGAAATTCTGGTTCTAGTCTAGTTTTCAAAAAGTTTTCTCTATTTATATTTTCTACGTTTGATTGTTTTATCAAAAACGGAAAATTTTCAAATAAGTCTAGTTAAAAATCAAATCTTTTCATATGATGATCATATGTTTCACTTTTGTCTAAAAATTTGGTGTGATTTATTTTTTAAACTATGACTTAATTTCTGTTTGGTTTTATTTACAACTTTTTTATTTGTGACATTTTGTTTATAGAGATTCATACTATCTATTTATTAAATTATATTTCTTTTTCGGTTATCGTTAGTGAAAATAAGGGATCAGAGAGAACATTTAAATGACAATATAAATTTTCGTTTAAATTTTTAAACGATATGTCATTTTTTTTTATTTTATACTCTTTTTTTAAATTATATTTTGTTTATTACCAGTGTTTTTTTTTAAATGCATTGTTTAAAAAATGTCTTGACAAAACATGAGATTATGTCTTTTAGTTTTACATTTAATGTTGAACTTTATTTTTAAATGTTAGTTTTATTTTCAAATTCTTTAACAATTAGTTTTTCTCTTTTTAAAATAATAGTTTTCTTTTCTTACAATAACAATATGCTACAATAAATATCCAATCTGAAATACACCAGAATATTTTACTTACTGGAAATAATAAATTTAACCATTTAGCTTTCAATTAGAACTAAAAATTAAATCTTCAAGAATGCTTTTTCATTTTTAATATTTAATTTTAAAACTTAGGTGTCAAAAATTCAGTGGAGGTACCTACATTCATTTAATTTAAAAAATATATTTTTGTTCTTTTGTTGACTTAGAGAGTAAATGATATGAAATTAAAATACATTAAAAAAACAAGTTTAAAAATATATGTATTTTTATTTTAAAATTATTTTTTTCATCGCTCCTATTTTATTTGAAGTTACACATTTTATTTGTTGACTAACCAAGAAAATCAAAAAAGTTTGTTACACTTAATAAAGTTCCTTTAAACTTTTAAAAAGTTATACTTTTTTTTTTTGTTTTTTTTTTTTAAATAAAATCAAAACTAAAAACACTATTTTGTACTTAGTTAAAAAAAAAAATGATGACTCGCTAAAATTTGAACTTTTATTTTTGTGGTTATTTTTCAATTCAAGAAGTTTTTTTTCAAAATAAAAATTTGATTAAAAAATATTTTGATAAAAAAATTATTCATTCCTCGCTACAGGCTGTCTTATACATTTTAAAATTAAATGTTTTTTTTTTCTTAAATGAAGTGACTGTGAATCCTACCAGAGAAAAGCATACTTTTAGTTTTATTTCGTGTTTTAGCAAGAATCAAAAAAAGTAAAACTTGAATAAAAATCTTGTGATAATGACGACTTTGTCGATATTTATTTGCCTACATCAGTTTTAATGTTTTAAAAAAATCATTAAAAAATGTCTTTTTAGCTGTGGTTAAAACAATTTATTTTAAAGTAAACATTTAAAAAAAATTAAAATTACAACAATTTAAACATTTATAATTTTATATCCATTCTAGATTTTTTTTTAGTCATTTTTGTTGTTGATTGATAGATTTGTTTTTATTTTTTTCCTGCGCATCCAAGCTTACATCACCTGGTATTCCTAAAGCGTTTTTTACCCATTGGGTTACTAACCAGGTACGACGTTGCTTAGCTTTGGCGATTGTACGAGAACTAGTGTTTCAACGTCATTAAAAAAAAATAATGTATGTTCAACATTAAAGCTAGCAAAAAAAAAAAAAAATTACAGTAACTAAAAAGTTTATTATCAATAAAATTAAAAAAAAATTTTCAAGTTATATTTAAAAATTTATTACAATGGAATTTTCACTTTTAAAAAAAGTAAAAGATCTCATCTCATTGATCAATTTGTTTAAAAGAGATTTATTATAAAGTTATTTTAAATTTCATTATTTGTTCAAGTTCTAAGACTAAGAGGTTCAGTGACTAAGTAATTCTTGTCATTCTTGGGTTTATAATTATAAAATAATGAAATATTTTATATTATAATAAATCAAAATGACAATAGTTTTGTAAATAAATGTGTTCATCTGTGATGTTAACTTCTCTGCCTACATCTTTGTCTGTCCATATCTATATCTGCATCAGTTTGTTCATCTTGCTGTCTCTCTTGCTCAGTCTCTTCACCTGTCACTTTCTCTGTCTGTCCAACCTATTCTCCCCCTTTTTCTGTCAGCCCCTTCATTTAATCTATCTCTCTCTCTCAGCCAGTTCATCCATCTCTCTCTCTCTCAGCCATCCATCCATCTCTCTCTCTCAGCCAGTTCATCCATCTCTCTCTCTCTCAGCCAGTTCATCCATCTCTCTCTCTCTCAGCCAGTTCATCCATCTCTCTCTCTCTCAGCCAGTTCATCCATCTCTCTCTCTCTCAGCCAGTTCATCCATCTCTCTCTCTCTCAGCCAGTTCATCCATCTCTCTCTCTCTCAGCCAGTTCATCCATCTCTCTCTCAGCCAGTTCATCCATCTCTCTCTCTCAGCCAGTTCATCCATCTCTCTCTCTCAGCCAGTTCATCCATCTCTCTCTCTCAGCCAGTTCATCCATCTCTCTCTCTCAGCCAGTTCATCCATCTCTCTCTCAGCCAGTTCATCCATCTCTCTCTCTCAGCCAGTTCATCCATCTCTCTCAGCCAGTTCATCCATCTCTCTCTCTCAGCCAGTTCATCCATCTCTCTCTCTCTCAGCAGTTCATCCATCTCTCTCTCTCTCAGCCAGTTCATCCATCCATCTCTCTCTCTCTCTCTCAGCCGGCCAGTTCACCCATCTCTCTCTTTCTCTCTCTCAGCCGGCCAGTTCACCCATCTCTCTCTCTCTGTCGGCCAGTTCATCCATCTCTCTCTCTCTGTCGGCCAGTTCATCCATCTCTCTCTCTCTCTCTTAGCCAGTTCATCCATCCATCTCTCTCTCTCTCTCAGCTAGTTCATCCATCTCTCTCTCTCAGCCAGTTCATCCATCTCTCTCTCTCTCTCAGCCAGTTCATCCATCCATCTCTCTTGCTCTCTAAATGTTCACCTCTCTCTATCCTCCTCTCATATATTTTTTTAAAGTCTGGCAGTTGTAATTTTACCTCAAAATAATTTTTCAGCTGTGTCAGCTAAAAAAAAAAAATATTGACTGTTTTCGTCTACGTGTAAAAGAAAAAAAAATTTGGTGGTATTATTTTACCACTTATCATATTACTAATATTTTAGCAAGTTTTTCCAAAATTCAAAATTCACGTAAATATTTTAAAAAAAATAACTAAATATGCTGTTACGGAATCACTTTAAAACTTTCTACTACATTTTACATATTTGGAGTAATTGTCTTGCTGTAAATTTTACTAATGCAGGAAAAAATGTTTTGTGATGTGAAGTCCATTATTTAATTCAAAATCCAGCCATACTATTTGGTTGGTTGACTTTAATGTAAATATTAAAAACAACCAACTAGTTTTATTTTAACAATTGAGTCTATAAGTCTTTTTTTGTCATTTAGCTCTACCTAAAAACAGGTAGCATATTGTCAATGACTATGAACCAAATTTTTTTTTTTATTTAATTTCATATTTTGAATTCATTCAGATCTTTTCCTTAGAATTTGTGGTTTTAAAAATAAATAAAAAGTTTTTCTAATATGGTGGTTAGGAGATGGTTATCAGTTATGAATGTATTGTTTATCTTAAAACAATGTTCATTCCTACTATATATTAATATAAGTGATTTGGGCATATATTGGCCTTAAAATAAAATGCATGGTGTGTTGATAAATACAAAATAATTCATTATATTATACAATATAATAATACAGAAGGATAAGGTGAAAGTTCAAGTGTAAAAGTCCTGGCATATATGATAGTGATAGAGAGACAGAGAAAGAAACCAAGAGGAATTAAATGTAAATATATATGTATCCAAATGTAGTAGCTGCCATTTGACAATGTGATGAAGGAAGGTATGTTTGTTCTCAATGTAGCAAGGGCGGTTTAGCTGTCTCAGTCATCAGCTAATTGTGCAAATCTCATATTTCATCTCTGCGTATGTTACGATGACTGCAGCATTGGAGAATGGACAAAATTACTTTATTGGCTCTGATTTTGGTTGATTTTCCATCTGTTTATATGCACATCTATAGATGTGCTTTGAAAAAGCAGCTCACGTCTTATTGGTTTGCAGTCTTATATCCTAGTTGTGAAAGCTTTTTGATTAATTGGTCAAATTATCTAATTTAATGATGGTGAAATTTTGGTCTCTTTGTTTTTATTTGTTTATTTCTTTTCATACATCTTGCTTGGGAAAGCTTCCTGATTGGTTTATTGAACTATGGCTTTGTTTGCTTGGCGCTTTTTATTATCCATCTATTTTTAGAGATGGAGAAATTTTAGTCTTTTTATTATTTATTTCTATTTATTTATTTCTCTGAAATGACACTAACAGAAAGAAATATAGGTTCATTACTTCATCCAACCTTCTTCCTTATAAGTAAAAAAAAAAAAAAAATGTAATCTGAAAATTCCTTGACATCACAAAGGAAAATATTTCTTTATATTTGTTGTATTTTAGCACAAAGCAACAAGCATTTTAATCTTATGAGAAAAAGTAACCAAAAGATTAATTGTTAAATAGACAAGACATAATCATAAAAATGAGCATGGAATTAAATAATTTATTGTCATCGACAGACTCCTGTGAAGAAAAGCTTAAAAAAATGTAAAAGAATGAGTCATGTAAGTTACCTATTTTTATTAATATGGTACAGAATGATGCGTAGCTGGTTACTTACATGTCATTGCTAGTAAGGTCAACTGTCACTGGATTATTCCATTATCATGACCTTTTGTCAGCCTAAGGTAAGCTGATTGAAACTCTAAGATTGCCTGCTATAAGAGTGTTAGTATTCATCATAATTTTTTTCAGTTAATGCATTTTGTGCCACCGTGGTCACCATGCCTCTCCATTTCGCAATTGTGGTTCATGGTGGCACTCAAGACAGAATAGTGTAATGGCTTGCCAGTTTCTTTTGAGGATGTTGAGGATACCTCTCCCTTCCTCTCAGAAGTTAGAGAGGCAGACCTACTAGAGAGAAGGCAGTTTGAATTCATTTTTTCCTAATCCTAGACTGGTTGCCAACCAAGGCTATAAGGTCCAGTCTGTTCTGCTATTTTTCCCATACTTGGGGGAAGAGATGGATTCATACCTTTCCCAAGAGTATTAGAATGTAAGTGAATTCAATGAGCCCAACTGGAATTTGAACTTGTCTCTCTGATTCCTATATCCGAGCCACTATTCATTACTCCCTCCCCAGTGCCTCCATGTGCTAGAATTACAAGCTATTAAAAGTGAGTTTATTTATAAACTCAAATATTGTGTTTATTTATTAATCTTACCTAAATACACAATACAAAGCTGAATTTGGGGAAATTGGTGATTAGAAGAGTTAGTTTTGTATGTGTCTAAGTCGATAGAGCAATGTCCTGAGGAGTGTTTACCTGCTTCTTGGCGCATATGTATATTACTTCAAATGTTATTTTTTAATAGATACCCATATTTGAATAAATATTCCATTTTATTTTAAATAATATTTAATTTACTGGCCTTCACACGAGAAAACTTATTAAAGAAAATCTACATACACTGACACTGTGTTCCCCTTTGCAGGAGAAACTGCTATCTGATCTGGCATGCTTTAACGACTCAGATGCAAAGAGCTTCCAGTCTCCAGGTGTCATGGTTTTAAATGGGAATATTGATGTTGGGATAAAATTGATATTTAAAGTAATCTTTTCATATCATTAATGGTCTATTTTTAATATTATTTTAATATTGAGCACTGTATATAAAAATATCTGCTGTTTCTATATATATATATATATATATATATAATATGCAATCTCAGAAGATTGCATTGAAGCATGAAATTGACATTCACTATATATAGAGTTTAGACCTTGGCAACACAGCAAAATGCTGAAGTGCCCTTAAAAAACAAGCCACATCCACAGCAATTTTTGCCTTCAACTTGTTTCTTTTTCTTTTTTTTAAATTAAGTATGAAAAATATTACCATTTTTCAAATAAGGTGGTAGTGGGGATTTTCCAAGAAAAAATTTGGCTAGAACCCTATGCAGGTATATTTTCAAAAAAAAAGGGGTAGATGAAAGAAATTTCAACAAATGTTACAAGTTTTTTTCATTTATGTCATTTTAAAACAGCAATACTTAAATAGATTGGTCCCCTCAAAAAGGAAAGAGAACTACGTCAAAATGTTAGGGATCAGTTTGATGTATTCATATTGTAGTCAGGAATCCCCACCATCTAAAATAATAGAAAATTATTATTATTTTTTTTTTTTTTTTGATTCTGACAAATTGCCTGAGTAGAGAAGTTCCTCTGAATGCTAAGCAACAAAAATTACTTGTGAAAATATTTTTATTGATAAGAAATTACTAATTAATATTCATGTCGGAAAGTAAAGGATTATTTTGACATTTACTGTATGTATGTTCTTTTTTTTTTTTTTTTTTGTTTCAATGGCTATTTTGATTTTATGCTGAAAAAGCTTTATATTTTTATACAGTAATTCAACAATCTCGTCCTTTCCATAACATATTCTAAAGAAGCTAGTAATGTTTGATACCTTTTTTGAAAATGTTCCACTTCAATGTATAGTAATTACAGTCATAATAATCTGGTATTTGTCAATAAAAATATTTGATTTTAAAGCTTTTTGTTTATTTTTATCAATTTTTTAAAGATTTTACATTTTTTTTTCAAATAACAAACATAAATTTTGCAAATTCTGAAAAAAATTGCTGTAGTGCTTTTAGTCATTGCCACAGTGCCCTCATTTCTAAGGGGTCCACCAAGCCTATTTTTGCCTGCCCCCTATCTTGAGGCTAGTCTCATCCCTATATGTGTGTGTTGCTTTAAAAAGGATAGAAAATATCTATATACTTTTGACTGGTTTTCTCTGCTTTATTTCAAGTAGAAAATTGTAAAGAAAAACAAAACTCTGTAGTTATTTTTTTTACAAAGAAAGAAGATTGAATATCACCACTATGGCATTTGAATTGTTGGCATTAAAAGAAAGAAATCCACAATTTATAAATTTTTTTTTTCACTTGAGATGCTTCATGTTAAAATGACATTAAACTGTTGTCATATTTGCCAGTGAGTCTAAATCCTTTTTCATTGTCACATCTGAAACCCATGTTCATTTCAAATTTAAATTGACAACAAAACAAATCCCACCCAAGCTATTTTGGGACTTTGAGTATTTAATTTTGGCAAATTACTTTACAAGTTTCTATCCAAAATAAAACTAGGGAATTCCAAAAGGCTCAATAGATATTATCTGTCTATTCCATAAAATATTTAATTAAAAATGTATGTTATGTTAAAAAGTAGAATGTTTAAATGAAGGATTGCAGCTTAAGTGTCCTACAGATATTTATTTTAAGTTTTATTAATTTTTTTTTTTTTTTCAAATCAACCACAGTGTTTCTAAGTAGCAATGTTTCTATGGTAACAATCTTTTGTATAGATTTGTTTTTTTTCAGTTGAGTGTTTGCACAGAACAAAGTGTTGACAACAGAATATAAAATAATTTTAAACATCCAACTGGTTTTCATAAATTCCATCTAACATACTTTGGATGTTTCATATCATTCATTTTATATATATATATATATTTTTGTGTGTGTGTTCAAACCCCCACTGAGAGAAGATAAAATTGCAACATCTTGAAGGACATTTTGGCTTAAATGTTTAAGTAATGTATGTGCATGTTAGCTGATAATAGGTAATCCATTGAAATTTTCAGTCTTTGCTCCTACTTGGTAGAAATAGTCATGGTAGTGCACCATCTGTGTTCAAGCTGGAGACAGGGTGAGAGTAAGGGGAAGAGGGGTGAGTTAATTCCCGTTGGCAAAATGGCAGTTTGGAAAAGGTAGATATACACAGGTGGTACTGCTAAGTTAGTTGCATGGGAATAGTTATAAGATTATTAGTGGCCAATCATTCAGCTGGCCTCATGTATCTATCTCTGTCTCTATTTCTCATATATATATATATATATATATATATATATATATATATATA